TAGGGCACTGGGCTATTTCCCATTTCTTAGCCACCATTGTCCAAAGATATTTCTGTGACCAAGTGGCCAACCTGACTATATGCCGATGCACACGGAACCCTATTTCCTTCCCACCGAAGTGGTACCTATTTATCTACTTGCATTTGCATGCTTTCAAACTCCTAGGTGGGCAGGAGCCGGGGCAAGTAACGTGAGCTCACCCTGGTCAGGAGCTTGGGACTCGAACAGGGGTCGTCAGTTCTCCAGATTCATGTCTTTAACCGCTGAGCCATCGTGCCACTTTATGAAGGATACCCTCTGAATTGCTGCTTTCTCAAACCCATCCTTGCTCAAAAGACCTTCTTAACCAAGTTCTCTTGCCAAAAACAATTCAAGAGGATTAACATATCATAGCTTGTCTTGCACAAATTGTTACTAAATATTTAATTTGACTAACAAGTATAAATCATTGCAACAACCAAGTGTGCAATGAGGTGAAGAGCAGAACGAACAACAGAAACAAAAAAGACTTCTGTGCATTATGTTGTTGTTGTTTTTTTACTGAGAACACTAAGTCAACACAAACTGGGATATTTCATCCTCAAGCCCTATTGGGCTTCAAATATCAAGGCAAACATATTGATGTAGGCATGGCATTTTGGCAGCCTATGTGGGTCCTATAGTATGTTCTTGGCAGGCATTAATAATATGACTAAATCATTACTAACGAAATAAATACATTTTGCTCTGATGGCCACTTTCAAGTTGGCTTTGAACATTTCTGGTGTTCAATGATAGCTTCCATGATCCCTGTCCAACCTCAGCTAGAGCAGTTTTTTTAGACCAAGTTGGAAACTATTTTTGGCCCCACGAGCCCCTTGTATCTGCTGAATCTAAAAACATTTCCCTTCCCCACCATCTATACATCTATTCACTTCTAGAAACTTGGGAGAACTAACAACCTTCCTCCTTGTTGGGCTTCTTACCAACAGCAGGAGTAGCAATCACAAGGATTCCTATAAATAGCATTTTTATTTTTTCCATATTGCGTTCAGATGTAGAGCTAGGGCCTGACTGAGTAGCTCCTTTGAATTCAGATAGTGGAGACACAACGAGTGAAAGAATGATGGGCTGGTTAATTCTGGGGGTCCACACAGGTCTTAGTGTTGCCAAGGTTGGCCTTTATGTGCTGTAGCACATAAAGCAGAGGAGGAATTTTGAGAAATCATTGTTACCATTCTGATTTACCAGATTGACAGAGTTGGAAGGAACCTTGTAGGACATCTAGTCCAACCCCCCACCCACCCAAACAGGAGACCCTACACCATTTCTGGCAGATGGCAGTCCAGTCTCTTCTTGAAAGCTTCCAGTGATGAAGGTCCCACAACTTCCGAAGGCAACTTCTGTTCCATGGGTGGATTGTCCTCACAGTCAGAAAATTCCTTGTTTCTAGGTTGAATCTCTCCTTGTTCAGTTTCCATCCATTGTTCCTTGTCTGGCCTTCAGGTGCCTTGGAGAATAGCTTGACCCCTTCCTCCTCTCAGTGGCAGCCCCTCAAATATTGGAAGACCGCTATCCTGTCTCCCCTGGTCCTTCTCTTCTCTAGACTAGCCAGGCCCAGTTCCTGCAACTGTTCATTGAATGTTTTAGCCTCCAGTCCCTTAATCATCCTGGTTGCTCTTCTCTGCACTCTTTCTAGAGTCTCAACATCTTTTTTATAGTGTGGTGACCAAAACTGGATGCAGGATTCTAGGTGTGGTCTTACTAAAGCTTTATAGAGTGTATTAGTATCTCACTTTCTTCACCCTTAGATGCCTGTCATCTAAGTTTAGTAAATTCAAACTATCAACGGTTATGTTTTAGTACGGCTAGTTACTGACAATCAGCTTTTCAGTGTTAACGATCTTGCCATCAGTATTGTAAGTCAAAATATTATATGATGATGTCTTATATCATACAAAGCTTTGGTGGGTATTAGATCTTTATGTTGGATCTGGACATATAGAAAGTGCAAATACATCACATTCATTCCCTTCCATAAGCCTTTTGTGGCAGGCATTCAAACTTCCAAATAAGCTCTTCGCTTTTATTGTTTCACTCCCATACAATATGCGTAGGGGAGATTCATTCCACCCAGTCGTATAAATGTTATCTGCATGTTGACTACAGCTTTCATATGTGCAATATACATGTGTTGTGGTTCGCTGGCAGCAGGTGCGGATGGCTGAGGTCTCAGAGAGCGAGGACTCAGATGAGGGGCCTGCGTGTGATGCAGGGATGGGGCCAGGACCATCAGGGAGTGGAGTGCTGCCTTTGGAGATGGTGGAGGCTGGCAGCAGTGAGGAAGAGGCCCCCGAGGAGCCTGTGCCCAGGGCGCGTGTGTGCAGGGCTGCTCGAAGGAAAGAGTAGCTGCAGCAGCATGGGTGACTCGGGAGTAAAGCTGCAAGATGATGGCCCCTCCCTTAAGAGATAAAAGCCAGCTGTGAACCCGGAGTTCTTTGCAGGAAGCAAGGAAGTTTTTGCACTTCAAGCCTTGTGAAAGTTCGGACTATTTTGGTTTGTGTTTGAAGACTTTTTGTTTGGAATATTTCTTGGCAACTTAATCTAGTGCTTTTGGCAGCCTTGCACAACCTTGGCAAGGCTCGTTCTTATCAGAGACAATTAGTTTTAATAGCCTTTTAACCGTCAATTAATGGAATTTGCAGAGAAGCATTAAAAGGTTTTGCTTTTATCTCTGTTTGGGTGTTCGTTTATTTGGAACAAGGTTTGGGTCAGAACAACATGTGAAAAAAATATTTTTAACCAAAGCTGTGGCATCTGGCAAAATGATATGATTTTTGGTGGCTTTGCAGCCGTCAAACTGCAATCTACGTGACAGGAACAGAGTTCCCATGTTGCTTGCCTGAGAACGTTACAAAACCCGGTTAATTCAGCCTTCACAGAGAACTAGGTAGGATTCTGTAGCTTACTTCACATGTTTTACATCCTTAGCTGCAAAGCATCTCTTGATGATTTTGCCTAGGTTTCAAATGGAAAATATTCCTCTTCCTGTCAAGCCTCCGTTTGCTGTCAGTGCTTCTCAAAGCATCTGCTCAGTCAAGGTATGGGGGGGGGGTGACTGTTTTTCAGGTGACTCCTGGTCTCAGAATGCATTATTACATCCCAGGAACAAACAGAAAGCAGTTATATACTGGTATCATTGCAAAGCTGGTTTGGTGGATTAAATTTGAATGCCTTCAGAAGCAGTGGCTGAACTCCAGGGGAGATTGGGAAGGAATTACAGGCAGTTGTGTTTTCATGCCTCTCCTACCTTCCCATCACTTCAGCCTACAAGAACTGAATGCGCCGAGCTCCTGTCTCTTCGAACTTAACTTCTTAGCCGTTAACTCTTCCATGCAATAACTTCCAACGGAAAGCATGTAACCCCGCAGTGGGATCCTATTTGTTCCCCTACTGCAGGGGTCTTCAAACTCGACAGCTTTAAGACTTGTGGACTTCAACTCCCAGAATT